ACAATGAAATACATATTCTAAAGCAAACCAACTAATCCTTAAAATCTTTATAAAGATAATTAATTCAGAGCAAATATGTGCAGACACCATTGCTTGAGTGAAATGTATTGTGGCTTTTTGAACTTGCTCTGACCTCTTTGCTTCTTGGTAACAGATAGGTGAAACCTGTGCTAATTGAAATCTACTTTTATAGAGGTTAGACATGTCTGTTTTAGGACACAAATGCCACAACAAGATGAGCCTAAGGATGGAATAATCTGATCTTGTACGGTCACTGTGTCCTAAAAGCAGTTTGGTTCGCATGAGCAAACGGCTGCTAGGTAACAAGAACAGCTATTATGTTCTTCATCCAGCTGTATTTCATAGATAACTCTACTTAAATACAGTACTGAACAGCAGGAATGAGTCTGAGACATACAGGAAGAAATACAAAATACAGCCATGTTATAATGTAACACTGATCTTAAGTGTTGCATGTGCCTTTGTGACTAACCGGTATACCTGTAGAAATGGACAATGGTCCATTCCTCTTATTTTCTGTACCGCTTACCCTATCCCTAGTTTTAAAAAAATAATAAAAATAAAAAAGGAAGACTTGGAGGAAGAGCAAAAAGAAAAAAGAAATGCTAGTACGTAATTGAATTATGATCCTATGAAGGGCCTCCTAACGTTATAGCCGCTGGTACTGTTTCCTCTTACAGAGTTATTGTTATCAGAACTTATATCAAGCAAACCTCTATGTGCTTAACCAGTTTGTCATGGTCAAGGTATATGTAGGGCAGAAACCCAGCATCCCATAAGTAGCTTTTTGCTCACACAAATGGACTTTCCCAATCTTTTCTTTCCCTCCTTCAGCATCTGAGTTAGGCCTCCTGCCCTCAAGAATATGCAATGAAGAGGGGATTTGCTCCCTGCTTGTTCTGCTGACTGAAGTCATTCTGCCAGCAAGCCAATTTAAAGAACAACATACTAAAATTACTTATTAAGTATTTTTGATATATTTTGGAAAACCAGCAACAAGTGGAGCCTGGCTGAAGGTGAGGACCGGACTAGATCTTTCTGTAGTATTTCGTTTGTATACAGTGGTGCCTCGTATAACGAGTGCCCCGTTTAACGATGAATCTGCATACCGATGCGGATTTTGCAATCACTTTTGCGATCGCATTGCGATGTTGCCTATGGGGAAAAATCGCTTTGCGATTTTTCCCCATAGGCCCCGTTTTCTCCCGCTCAGCTGGGGGAAAATGCCTGTGGTGACCTCCGAAGGACCCTTTTGAAGGGTCCTTCCGAGGCCACCGCAGGCATTCCGCTTTTGAGGGGGCATTTTCCCCGAGCTGAGCGGGAGCCCCGCCGCTCAGCTGGGGGAAAATGTTGGCAGTGGGCGACGGCCTCGGAAGGACCCCGAAGCCACCGCCGACATTTGCCCTCTGAGTTCTCAAAGGGTCCCCCTCCAACATTGGAGAAAGCCCTTTGAGAGCTCGGAAGGCTCTCAGCAGCGGCGGGGGCAGGGTATGGTGGATCCGGATGGCTTCCAGCCAAAGCACTGGAAGCCTTCCGGAACCCACTCCCCCCGCAGCCGCTGCTTGGATCCGCGCTGTGGCCGGCTACCCCAGGCATGGTCAGACTCACAGGAGTCCGACCATGCCTTGGGTAGCCAGCCGCGGTGCGGATCCCGGCGGTGGGAGGGATCCGGGCTTGGATCCGCCCTGCAGCCGGCTACCCAAGGCATGGTCGGACTCTCAGCTCTTCTGAAAGGCAGGCATTGGGGCTGCTCTGGAGAAGCGCTTCTCTGGGAGCAGCCGAAACGCCCGCCCCTCAGCTCTTCTGAAAGGCTGGCGTTTCGGCTTCTCCTGGAGAAGCGCTTCCTGGAGAAAAGCCGGTGCGTGCTCGGGAGGTGGGTGGGGAAGGCTCCCCCACCCTCCTGGCCAAGCGCCGGCCAGTCAGCTGGCTTTTGGCCAGCTGATCGGCGGCTCCAAAATGGCCGGTGCAACCATTTTCGCGCCCTGCCCTCTCTTACCGAGGGCGCGAAAATGCCTGTGCTATGGAGCTACTTCGCTGAACGGTGAGTTTGGGGCCTATTGGAACGCATTAAACGAAGTTTAATGCATTCCAATGGGTTTTTCTATTCCGTACAGCGATGTTTCGCCATAGCGACGGTTAATCCGTAACGGATTAACTTCGCTATGCGAGGCACCACTGTATTTATGTCTTGACTCATATTTAACCCTGGGGAAGGGTCTAGTTTTAATAAGGAAATAGATTCAAGATGAAAGATTTAAATCCCACCCACTATTGCCATTTACTAAAGATTCAGCAGATTGAATCACAGTGTAGGACCCTACCTTAAGCAGGGTGAAATTGACTTGGCCTTTATTGGGTTACTTAACTGCTATTTTAAAAAGCAAATGACACCTTGAATGATTAAATCTATTGTGACATAATCAAGACAAGAATACACTGTCACACACATAAAGGGTTAAGTAATTTGGGAGATACATAGATTATTGTTATATGGATGTCAGAAAATGTTGAAAGCCTTTTGAGTTCAAAAGGAAATTGCAAAAAAACACACAAGCCATTGTTAGCACACAAGTGTATAAAATAAGCGCAACAGCAATTCATAAACCATTGCTGAAGACTGCTAGCAGTGCTAGGATATTTGTATCCATGTCTAGATCTGGTGGTGTATTTCTATATTATGTTGTCCTTTTTCCAGAATTAGCACTCTCTTCCTTGCAGCCTAAAAATTTGCTCCCTTCCCATAGGTTAATTAGCTAATATAACCTCATGTCCTTTCTCTTCCCCCTGCACCAGTGCAATCCTCTGAATGAATGATGGCAGGGCAGAGATGAAGAAAACGTTGAAATCCACTTTTGCAAGATGGCTGAAATTATGTACTTCTCTGTGTTCTGAGATTTCTGGTCTCAGCTGACCTAGGTGATCACCACTGATTTTATCAGGAGTGTGGCAACATCTGCTGCCTTTAAGTCTCAGCTTCCCCTTGGGGATGTATATAAAGGTGCTGGAAGGTCCAAACCTTGTCAGACACTGTAAGATGAACTTGTTTGCCTTGGCGGTCTTCATGGAGGAGGAGGGTACTACAGCAGGTATTTTATGTTGTGAAGTAACACCAAATAGTGTCCCTCCCTTCCAGGTATGTAATTCCTTTGGATATGTGTCACCAAATTCATTCCACCCCAGCTATTATTGGTAGCTTGATAAGTCATGTTGAGGATCTCCACCATCACTACACAGAAAAGGAATGTGGGTACTTAATGGGAGATAGGCATTGTATGGGTGGAAAGCGAATGTTCTCCTTACCCAGAAAAATAAATTATTCCAATACGCTTTGCTGGTGGTGTCACCTACTTCAACTTTTCCCATCTTTGTTTTTAATGGTTTCCCTTTATTCTGCGTGCTAGCAATTTGGAAGCCAGACTGGCAAACCAGGATTTTTCTTGCATTTAGAGGGAGCCCTTGATTAATCTGATTGATTTACAGCTTGTGCTTGTCAAGGAAATTTGGAGGGATAACACTATATTCAGTGTCCTCCTTCCTCTACATAAAATGAATGTCTCACAGTAAGTACCAATAATGGAAACTCATAATTGTTCTATTCTGAATTCAACAGTAATCCTGTACACACTTCCAAGTGACCATAAGCAAGAGTAGATGGTAACCAATACAACAGAGGGCTCATACCTTCACTTTTTAACTAAAGAAAGTTACCATTAGTGGAATCTGAAGGGGGTGTAAGTTGTGCTATTCTGGCACAATCAAAGAAAGGGTACAATTGGCATGTTATTTTTTTCATTAAAGAGACAAGGAAGATTGGTGCCTAAAGAGGCTAATCACAGAACCAAAGGAACTGATAGGAGTGGGAAATACTATAGGACAAATAATCTGACAAAAAGTGTGGTAACAGAAGATGGAGAGTTGTACACAAGATAGGTCTTTCAGAACTTACAAGTGCAATAAGACTTTTCCAGTTGCAGCCATTGTGCCTCACAACTTGTGACACAAAGCATCATGTTGCTGTGTGCTATCTAGTCACTCCTGACTTTTGGCAACCCTATGAATTAATGCACTTCCAAAAGTTTCTTCTATTAAGATTTGTCACGGTATTGCAAACTAAAGGATTGTGAGAATCCATGTCATATGCAAATCCTCCTCTTCTACTACCACTTTTCCTAGCACTGGTTTTCCAGTGAATCTTCTCTTAGGATACATCCAAAATATCATAGGCCCATGTAAGTCATGGTACATGCCATTGTAGAGGCACCTTCCCTTACCTGTGGCATCTCCCCATCTTGCCTACATCCTTATTCCATGCTGTTTTGGGTCTCTTGTACCTGAAGAACTGCTTGGCAAAGCCACACTGTAGAATAATTCTTGGCTCTAACACAGTTATGTAGTTACAGCATAACAACGTCTTAGATTTTCTCAACTTGGATGAGGAGGGTTGCTACGTTTTATCTTTTGGAAATATATATGCCCTCTAGGAAACAATATAACTAGGCCTTATAAATCCTAACATCTTAGTGGGTATGTATGTGTGCAGACACAGCTTTAGGGAGTGTAAGATTCTTAAAATCAATTTAAACAAATACATTAGATGCTAGTACTAGACTCTAGATATCCCATGAAAATGTGGACATTATTTTTAATTTATTATTTAAGTGCGCATAATTTTAAGTTCTGATTTATTTTTTTGGGGGGGAAAGGGTTTGGATTAATGTTGAAAAACAAAAGTCTGGGTTTGATAGTAAAATTGTTGGGATACACTAACAGCTGCTTATAAGTGAATTTGGACAAGTCATTTGCTTCACAGCAAATTAGGGATCTGAAATCTATTTGCCCTTCTACTATAAGATCATGATATTTTACACTTACTGCCTATTTGATGGGTCAACACACATCCAACAATTGCATTTTCAGCTGTGTAGCTGGTACAAAATAAAAGGAGAATGAAATGGTGTGGTCACTTATTTACCATAAGGTGAATACAGCAAATTAGTCACTTTTAATTAGAGAGTATTACAAAAAATGTGCAAAAAATTCCCATGATTAAATACACATTTAAAAGCAACATGCAAACTGACATTTGAATATAGGATTTAGTTAAATGACAAATTCCAATAGCATACAACTTGATGAACTATAACTTCATTTAATTTTGACGCATGTGTAAAATCAAGGGAACAAATAACTGAAGTTGTGCTATAAGGGGGTGATGGTGGTAGCTTTTAATTAAATGTCCACATACCTCATTTTCCAAAACATCTGAAATGCAGTTGTGTCTTGGCTTTATCATTTTTGCTCAACTAAGCATCAGCTTAGTTGGTTCAGCACACAGAATGAGCTTTCTGTAGAATAGTGAGAGGTATCTTGGAACTAAAGTAGTGTATGCCACTTGCTACTCATCAAGCAATTATTGCCAGCCTTTCGTTTTTTTTACAGTCTAAGTGCCAACACAAATGGATCAAGACTTCAACTGTATGATTACTTCCAATATCTAAACCAAAATGGTCAGCCTCACAACCTCTCTGTATTATCCTATGCCAGTTACATCCTGCCCTATATAATAAGCTATTTGGTTCAACAGAATTTAATGCTGTTTACTGTACAATATTTATTTTGGCACCTCTGACAAATGACATTAACAAGTTAATACCTATTCACAGCAGTATGTGCTATCCCTTCCTGAGCAAATACAACTCTGAGCCAAACAGCAATGATTCCTTTCAGAGTTTTAGGGGAAAACAACATATTTGTAAAGGCAGAAGTGGCTGGTATAAATATTCCAACTTGTCTGGCATGTCATTCCCACCCCCCACCCCGCATAGTATTAGGACTTCCACTTTTATTTCTCCAGAGGAGTTCATCCTTATGGTGTGGCAGATGTTAACTACAGAGAAAAATCCAATAGGCACAGGCTATTGAAACTTTAGGAAAGCTGAAGTAACAGCAGCAGCCAAAACTAACATGAAAACCTGCTGTTAACAGCTAACATATTAGTCTTCTGCCTTGTGGCTTACTCCGACCACACTGGCTTGGGCTTCTTAAGATCATCGGTCCAGCTTGAGCATGTCCACTGTTATGGTAGTCAGAGGCTGTTTCTTCAGACAGAATAATCAGGAAGGGGATTGAGGTACCATCTCTCCCCACAAACTGCCAGCAGTTCAGTCAAAGTTTGTCATCAGTCATTTCTAAGAACTGAGCGTAAACATCCCTGGAGCATTCCCCTTTTTGATTGAATAAAAATTTGTAGTAACTGCCATCTGCACAGATTGCTACGAGAGAGAATGAGAAAGATTTCTAGGTTAGCTACTGGAGCATCATTCTTCTCTGTGTTACAGAGCAAGCAAGAACAATTCTTGTAGATACTAGCTACAAACAGTTTTCTACATGACACTTGTCCCACACACTAACTGAGGCACAGAATGAGCATCACATTAAACTTTGTACTTTAAAGTTAGCTTAATTCTATGGCATGCTGAAAGTTTTTGACAGATCATTTATTTATTTCATTTTTATACTGCCCATCCGGCTGGTTTACAATAAACATATAAACAAACAAATAAACATATAAATACAGCCAGATACAATTTAACATAACAAAAAAATAGAAATAATATACAAATAAGCAGTAAACATTTAAAACATTTAATATAGTGGGCAATGATCAGATAGGCTAATTAGACTCAGTTGAGTTTGCAGGTATTAAATGCCTGCCTAAATAATTAGGTTTTTAGTGACTTTTTAGTAAATGTTACCCATGAAGGGGCCAAATGAATTGCAGGGGGGAGTTCATTCCACAGCCAAGGAGCAACTGCTGAGAAGACCCAGTTTTCATCTCCCTCAGGGCCTTTCTTGGGCTTAGCATCCTCAGCCAGTCTGTTTGGGATGATATATCATGATCATGTAGCTTTCCTTCATGCTGGGATCTCAAGCAGCACTCTCGAGCATTCATCATGTCTTGCTGTCTGAATACATTTTATATCCTCTGAGATCTGTTACTCTTCACAGCAATCCTATATATTACCTTTGACTTAAATCTCAAATAAATGGAACTACTTCAAAAAAAGAGTGCTGCTATACAAAACTTAATTCTGTGGGTATAGCTGGCTGAATTCATACCTTATGTTTGGGGAGGGCTGAGTTTTCATCGGCAATTCTGTGCATACAAATTCAGAACCTTACCTAAGACAGAATTTGGTTCTGTTCCAAAGGCACAGATGCAGGGGGAGCCCGAGGGAACCTGAAATTTGGAAAAACTCCACTTGGAACTGAAGTATTTGGGCAGGAAGCTGGCTGATGCTAAGCTGAAAGAAAAGGAAATAAAGTCCCTTGAGCACCATTTGAAGCCAAGTCATCCAAGCAGTGAAACAGACCAGCTCCAACTTCAACAACCACTTTAGCTTAAAATGGACTGATAGCCAGTAACGCTGTTGTAATAAAACAATTGGCGGTCTGGCTGTAGCAGTCTGGACAAGCTGAACTCTTGGAACACTTTTCAAAGACAGACCCATGTAGAGTATTTTAAAGTACAGTAGGATCCCTGTATCCATGGGGGGATTAGTTCTACAGTCTACCATGGATGGCTGAAAATGCAGATGTAAGGGATCCCTATATACAGCATACAAGAGGGTTAGACAATGGTTACAAGGGGGTGTCATTGTATGTTGTACATAGGACTGCAGCATGGAACCGATCCCCTGTGGATATGGCGGTCCTACAGTATTGCAGAGGCTCATCTTTTGTAGGACTCCAAATCTATCTTTGCTCTTTGTGGTAGCGTAATGCCACTTACTCAATACTATATGTTCCTCTAGACTACTGCTCAACCTCCAAATAGAAAAACAGCACCTCAAGCAATTTGCTTAAATTAAATACAAGCTTCCAAATTAAGTTTGAATGGGTGCATCTACATTCTATTGCCTAGGGCAGTGGTCTCCAACCTTGGGCCTCCAGATGTTCTTAGACTTCAACTCCCAGAAATCCTGGCCAGCAGAGGTGGTGGTGAAGGCTTCTGGGAGTTGTAGTCCAAGAACATCTGGAGGCCCAAGGTTGACGACCACTGGCCTAGGGAACCAAATACAGTATAGAGGGTCACAGCTCAAATGTAAGGTTTGTGCTTTCCATGTAATTCCCAGGTTCCATCTCTAACATCTCCAATCCACAAGCATCAGGTGATGGGAAAAACCTTTTTCTGCTCAAGACCCTGTCAGACTAGACAATGCTAGGCTGCATGGGTGAACAGAACCTGCACATGCAGATTTCATTTTCATTCCTGCACCAAAAAACCATTAAGGAATAGCCACTCTTCTATTAATTGATCAAATCCCTTTTGAGTAAGCCTCATCGCACAAGTCTTCTCGACACATTCACACACACACACAATCACTTCCTTACCTTGACTGCTTGTTGCGTTTAGGATCCTCGGCAGCAAAAATGTGCACTGTGGCATGGTCACTTGACACACAGATAAGAGAAGCATCTTGGTTGAAGTTAATGCTAAGGCAGAGCAGAAATAAATATTTTTGTTGCTAATGTCACAAAATAAGTTGTTTTATAAAGATTTTGCCTATTTGCAAAATATGTGTTTGGAGAAAAAAGCATTTACAGTAATTCCAGAAAACAGCATAATCTATGATTTACTCTAATTAGCTATTTTTTTGTGAAGGGGACTTTCAGCAAGAATTTATTGTCTCACCCAAGACATTTAGAACTTTTCAAGCTCTAGCTTCTTGGGAGGTTATTTAAAGCAATGTCACCTATAGCAAAATCAGTCACAAACTGGTGAAACTGGTGCAACTTTTAGCAACCAAACCACTGGAAGTGAAAAAGTATACATCCAAGGAGTAAATAAAAAGGACAGAGCAAGATAGATTCACATCTTTTTTAAAAAGAATCCTACCCCTCCACAATACATGGAGCTGAAAAAAAGCATGTGGATATATATGGAACAGAATTATTGTTTATCATATTACTCTCATAGTACCAATGAAACAGGAGCAACAAACATATGTACACTACCTTTATTTACAGAAAGGGTTTTTTAAAAAATATTTCACATTTTTTAAAGATGGCAAAAAAAATATCCACATATTTGGAATGAAAGGATCCTTGTTTTCCTACGTTTTATGCCAAGGACTATACTGAAGAACAAACCAGTTTGACTGATGTCTCTATTTCATGATCCCCACCATGAAATCTTCAAGATTTATTTAAACTGAACCCAGCAGAACAAAGGAAAATAGTCAATGCTTGACTTTGAACTAGAACTTTCATACCTTGAGGTTACTCTTAAAGCATAAACTTCTGTTTGTGCAAGAAGAACCACCTCCCTTCCTAAGATTACCAGATACTCCCTCAAACCATTAGGAAAACAACAATATCTTACCAGTAGATATTGGCAGCCTGAGATCCTCTGCGTAGCTCCTGGATTAAATGCCCAGATGTAGTATCAAATATTCTTATAAGGGTCCCCTTGAAATGCAAAAACACACATCTCTTAACGATGGGAAGAGCAGCAGTAGATTTCCCAAGAAGAGCTCCTAACACAAGGATTGGGGGGGGGGTCACTTCACTGGCATATGACTCTTCAGTTCTTTTATCTCACATCTATACCTTCACAGTTGCCTATCACCACATTGTCTTAATGTTCTCTTAACTGCCTACAGATTGTCAAAATGATTGCAAGCATTTTGTTATTACTATTCTCCCAGTATATTTGGAATGCCTTTCAGATTCTTCTGCATAAATATATTGCAACTTCAATATAAAGGAAATTACTGGGGGAAAAGGGACATATCTACAGATAAAGAGTGAGAATTTGCACAGGAAGACAGCTTGCACTTAAACGCCTGACAAAGCTGTCTTTTGTCCAATGTTTGCAAAACAGAATGTGTATTTCTTTATTTACCACAACAATTAGAAACCAGTTTTCTAGCTTTAAAGCTAAGGTACAGTATTCATGAATCCAAGTGCTCTATTAATTTAAATAGTGCTCCTGGAAAGATTAACAGTAGATTTTTCTAAGGCAGAGTAGGTCACTGTCTTCAGACTTTGGGGATCCAATTGTTGTACTGAAACCTCATCATCCACCAACTGGAATTAGTTGCACTGCGTATCTCACAGACTTATTGATTGTATCTTATGAAGCATTCACGGGCATGATCTGCACACATAAATCGTAACTGAGTTACTATAGAATGACAGTCTAACCTACATCTTAGAATGGCTGCTGTTAAAACAATTGGGAACCAGCAACCTGCTCAGATGCACTGCAACCCACCTAGAGGTCCACAAGTACAGTACATCCTACCTACTCTACCCTCTCCTTGCCCCTTAGTTAGAGATTATCAAATTCATTAATAAAAAATGGCACACAGAATGTTCCTGATTACTAAAAAGCAAAAATTAGAAATTGTTAAGCAGCACACTTATTGTGTTACAAAGCTCACTATACATCTAGCAGTCTACAGTGGTGCTTCGCTTACCGATTGCCTTGTTTAATGATGTATTCGCTTAGCGATGAGGTTTTAGGAGCGATCTTGCACTCTGTTTAGCGATATTTCCAATGGGGAAATTTCACATAGCGATGTTCGGGACCATGCCTCGCATAGCGATGACAGTTTGGGTCCCCCTGTTTCGCTTAGCGATGTCCGTTTTCGCTATTTTTAAAGTGTCTTAAAATGTTCAAAAACTGTTTCAAATGTTTGGAATCGTTAGTGCACCTTGTAAAACCTTTGCAAACTTAATTTGGCTTTGTTCTGAGTCTTCGTTAATTTTTGGTGAATTTTTCCCATTGGAATGCATTGAACTGTAAGGTTTGACAGCTGTCAAACCTATTCAATGCATTCCAATGGGGGAACCGCGTTTCGCTTAGCAATGTTTCCTATGGCGATTTTTGCTTAAGGACGGTAATCCGTTCCCATTGGAACGGATTATCCAGTTTTCAATGCATTCCTATGGGAAATGGTGTTCCGCTTAGCGATGTTTTCCCATAGCGATTTTTTTGAACCAATTAACATCGCTAAGTGAGGCACCACTGTATAAATCGAAAGAACAGTGTAGCAAAACTGCTTACTTTTTCTGATGCTGTAGCAATTCTTGTTCCCTGCAGATTTAGAGCTATGCAACTCAAGACTCCTTCATGAGCAGGTATATCTACAGGAGGCTTTTCTGTATTTGCCAAGTCCACTATCTGCACGTGTCCAGTATGTGTTCCAGGGAATGCAAGCAAGGAATTATTACTGTTTGGGCACAGGACACAGAGACCTAAAATGCAACAGAAAGTATAGCAAAGTAGGTACTTTTAACATTATATCCCTCCCCAAGCCAGCTACCCCAAACAATAACAAGATTTCCCCAGATAATTAGTCATTCTGCAAAGCGGACAATAGTTTAGACTTCAAGTTAAAAAAGAATAGGTTTTCAAGAAGTAAACTAAACAGAGAAGTGTTATTAAATAGTAAAATGGGCCATAGGCTACATAAGCAAAATATCACATGAAAACTGCATTTTTGCCAAAACAGTTTTCAGATCCCATGTGCCAACTACAGGGAGGCAAACAAATGGTTTCATAAATTTTGCTCTGCACTTACTAGTGAAAGCACTGCTGTCAGTGGTCACAGCAGGGTCTTCCATCCTTTATTTATTTATCCTCCTCCCCCAAGAGAACCCAAGGTTTACAGCATTAAAATAAACTACATTAAAAGCTGGAAAACAAAAAAGATTACTATATTAAAAAAGAACTAAATTGATATCAAATAAAAAGTAGTGGATAAAAGCAGTTAAAACCCACAAAGCAGCCACATTTTTAAAGACATTCCTCTTAGGCAGCCAGATACTGTACTGTGAAAAAGCCTAAAGAGAAAGGTCTTTGCTTGCAGAAGGACAACAAAGAGGGGGCCAGCCTGGCTTCCTGTGAGGGAGTTTGGAAGTGGCAACAGAGAAGCCCCTTCCTGTGTCCCCACCAAACACACCTGTGAGCAGCAACAGAGAAGCCCCTTCCTGTGTCCCCATCAAACACACCTATGAGCGTAGGGGGACCGAGAAAAAGGCCTCCGCTGATGATTGAAAAACAGACAAGTTCTTTTTAAACAGTAAAATAGATTGATGTGCAAAACAAACATGTTTCTTATGTGTGTCTAGCAAACAGAGCAATGGAAGATACTACTTTGTAATGGAGACAACTTACCCTTAGGATTGTAGCAGGTTTCAAAGACATGCAACTGGTGAGGATTATGCGTGAAAGTGAACACTTTAATCATAGAGTCCAAAACTACCACGATTCTGAAAGTGTAAAAAAGTAGTACAGTATTATATGCTCATGTTACCAATGAATGTTACATCTTGCTAAATTTGATCTAACCCTCTAAACATTTCCTGCCAATCACCCTGCACAAGACTAATTCCAAAGGAGACACATGGGTGGAAAACAAGAACCACACCTCAATGACATGTCCTTTCAGATTCAAGCTGCTCTACGACATTCAGACTGCAACTATGCTATACAACACTGGTCCTTAACCTTGGGTTACTCTGGAGTTTTGGACTGCAACTCCCAGAAGCCTTCACCACCAGCTGTCCTGACTGGGGTTTCTGGGAGTTGCAGTTCAAAAGCATCCGAGTAAAAAAGGTTAAAAACCACTGCTATACAACACTCTCCTTTTTTAAAAAATGAACAAACACCCTGAGTTCAGCGAACAAGAAGAGGAAAAGTGAGCCCACAATGCAACAAACGAACTACTGTAGACTCACCTGTCTCTTCGCAGCTTGACAGCTTTGACCTCTGTGGAAAATTCTATTTCAATAACTGTCTTCTTTTTCAGATCATCCCAGATCATCACTGCACCAATAGAAGCAACTTTATTAGTCTTAAAAAACAAACAGTGTAACTATTACAAAGCACTTCCAGTCTGCCACTTCAGAAGTCTAGTTCTATGAGAAACAGTGACATTCCACACTGCCCAGCTTGCAGTGGTTCATTTAGAAAACTACAAGGAAAAACATGAGAACACACAGACACAGACTGTTTAGACTCCACATGTAGATGTTTTACATTACAACTGGCCCTCTAGATATTGCTGAACCCCAACTCCTATCAATGCCAGCCACCAAAGTCAATGGTTAGGATGATGCAATTGCAGCTAACATTTGCTGGGCAATGTTACATTACCCATAGCCATTCTTGCCTCAATATTTATGCATTGACCACATCTGGACAAGACTTAGATGATCATATTTTGAGGTTTCTTCCATTCTCCTCTTTTTTTGCCCACCCTCACCCACTCCAGGATTCTTAACCAGCAATGTATTCCTTTTGAAAGCAAGAAGGAGTGCACTATTATCCTTGTTTATCTAAACATCTGTTTATCCTTTGACCATCTGGAAAGGCATAAATTGCTCTGAATAGAGAGAAACAGCAGGACAGAGGCATCAAAAGAAATTTTGTTGAACTGCCCAGACACTAGAAGAACAGCAGCTAGGTTTGTTTAAATACTGAATTGCAGCAGCAGGGGTAGACAAATGGTACCTGAATGCCTGCTAAATTAAAACAATTTTGAAATGTTAGGGTGGAAGAAAACCCTAAATTATTTTATTTAATACTTAATAACGTACCTTTATTAGGTGGATATTTCGGCTTTTTTCCTCCACCGACCAAGGCCAAATAATTGCAGCGGAACAACATTTCAACATGGCCAACACCACCTTCTAGAAATTCTAATGGGGGGAAAAGGCATTTTTAGTCAGCGCTCAGTGCAAAGGTTTACTAATGCTGGAACAAGTCTTAGGGCATCCTGAAGGCTAAAAAGTTCTATTTGTTGTGGACTACCATTCATTTCATCAGATACACTCTATACATCCAGCGAAGTTGTCTATTGTGATTTTTGTTATATGCCATCAAATCGCCTCTAACTTATGGGGACCTATGAATTAGTGACCTCCCAAATGCTGTGTCATTAATAGCTCTGCTCTTGCAAGTTTAAGGCTGTGGCTTCTTTTATGGAGTCTATTCAGGTCGTATTTTATCTGCTTCTTTTCTTGTTGTCTTCCAATTTTTTCTACCCAGTCTTTTTACCCAGAGTCTGATCTTCGGATGATTTATCCAAAATATGGCAACCTCTGTTTCATCATTTTTGCTTCTAGAGAAATCTACCAAAATCTACTACATAGAAAGTGGATAAAAATTAATGGAAATTTTTTTAACTTAAAATCTGTTATTTTTACCATTAAAAGACTATATGATGGCAATTCTAATTCAGAATGTTATAGTTCAAAGACATGATTGTGAAATAAGGACAACACCTTCTACTTCTATAATGTGAAACAATGTGTTCTCTTTAAAAAAAAACAACTGCAAATATGATTCCATACAGTGTGGACTGGGGCCTCAATTTATAAGATTCCACAAGCTTCTGTACAGATTATTTAGGACGATCTTCCCTACTAAATATCATCAGTAAAATCTGCAGTTGTCAAACTGTGTTGTCTCCAGAGATCAATTGCACTAGAGGAGAGGAGAACCTTTATCACTTTGTTTTCTAGCTCTAACTGAAGCGATTCCTGGAGCTTTTGCTTTATTTTCCCCCAAGATGGTATAATGTTAACAATTCATGGAAGTCCTACTGAAATATCCAGGAATGCTTTCAACCATTTGCTTGAATGAAGTTTCTTCCTTCAGAGCAGCAACCCTAGTTATTGTCTTGCATGGACAAGTCAAGCCCTTACTCCTCTCTCGAGAAGTGCACACTTCAAGACACTAGAAGTGTTAATGAATACAGGATTACTGGAGATTAAAAGAATCTGGGCAAGAAGTTTATGAAAAATAGTATTAAGGTCAAAGCAAGCAAGAGTGCACTTTTCTGATGTGAAAAAAAGCCCCCAATAACACACAATTAAATAAAGCCTAGATGGGAAATGCTTTGAATCATGCCTTAAATCAAATTCATCCTGACAACATGTGCAATTTATTAGCCATTACCATAATTTCTTTGATCATTACTGGTGTAACAGACAATTTAATCCTGCTCCCATGCAAATTATACTGAAATGTATTAGCAGTTTATGAGGAAATTCCTTTAAAACTCATGTTAAAGTGTAGCTAAAGGAAAGGCCTATTTTATTTTGCATTTTCACCTGTATCACTTCAAGACAATCCTTTGATTTCTGGCCAAGAGACATATATTTACAATAGGATAGGAACACTCCTGTTAAGAAACAATTAAAAATAGCCTTAAAATTCAAGCAAGCAAATCTCTTATTTTAAGGCTTTTATCTTCTACACAATTACTTGAGAGTAAGTTCCACTGAACTCAATAGCATTAACTTTTAAGCAGAGTGGAATTGGCTTAAATCGATTTAAATCACAATGAAAAAAACACATATTTTGGCAATTTAAATTGTAAAAATATTTTTTTACTTTAAATCAATATGATTTTTTAAAAAATTGATTTTTATCCATCCTGCTTTCAAGTAATAATTCAAAAAAATAATATGATACAGGAAGTACTTGCCATGAAAATGCATCACACCAAGCAATCATGATTACTAAAGAACCACCTCACCTTGTTTTTCTTTCTCTTTGAGTGGATCTGCATTGAACACTCTAAATCCATTTTCCATCCCACATGCAAAGCACCCTAAAACAAAAACAGAAAAAGGATTACCAACTGAGTCATAAATGGGGGAAGGACAGCAGTTCAGTGGGACAGCACACAGTTTGTCCCCAGAAGGTCCCAGATTCAATCCCTGGCATCTCCCACAGTAAGGCATGAGGGTGATAATTAGATAATATAGGGCTAGATGGACAAATGACCTGATTTGATATAAGCTGGTTTTTTGTATTCAAATGAAACAGACACCTGGCAAAGAAGGCCTTTTTAAAGCCATTTGAGAGGGCCCAGGTCAATATGTTCACTGAAAGGTCCCTCCCCTCCCTACCAAGTCTTTCTCACAACACCTTGTGTTGATGTCATTTTTTTCCCTTGTCAGCTGAAAAAAAGGTAAGTATGAATATAGTACTTTAAAAAATCAGCCATATTTGACATCAGACTGCTGAACTTTCATGACCAAAGTTATAGAAAATACTTAGGTAAAGGTAAAGGTTCCCCTTGACAATTTTTGTCCAGTCGTGTCCGACTCTAGGGGGCGGCGCTCATCCCGCTCTTCAAGCCATAGAGCCAGCGTTTGTCCGAAGACAATCTTTCCGTGGTCACATGGCCAGTGTGATTTAGACACGGAACGCTGTTTACCTTCCCACCGAGATGGTACCTATTTATCTACTCGCATTTGCATGCTTTCGAACCGCTAGGTTGGCGGGAGCTGGGACAAGCGATGGGCGCTCACTCCGTCATGTGGATTCGATCTTACGACTGCTTGGTCTTCTGACCCTGCAGCACAGGCTTCTGCGGTTTAGCCCACAGCGCCACCACGTCCCTTATAGAAAATACTTACACACAACCAAACAAGCTGCATTCAGAATATTTGAAAGTTATCTCATTTTCCCCCACTCCACCTTTTCTTAACAGCAAACTCAGAGATGAGATTATCAAAATACATTTTCTCAGAACATCCCAGCCTAGGACAAGTCATCAGAATCTATAGCTGTATCTGTGGGATACAACTTGTTTTTCCCCAAATTAAGTCTAACTTGGAGACTGCTCTTCCTCTTCAGTTCAAAACTGGCAGAGCTAAGCGAGGGCAGAAACTATGATAACCTCTGGAAAATCTTCAACCTGGTTCTTAAAGTCAGTTATCTGCAAATGATGACATGCAGCCGTCTCACATCTCTCTCATTCCTCTGCGGCAAAGGTTCCCAAACATTTTAGCATCACTCCTCCCTTTGGACCGTTGAGAAAAGCCACGCTGCCTCAAAGACGCTGGGGAGACACCAGGAGAGTACAATTGCAAAAAGGACAAAAGAGTGGCAGCCATTCATTTTTGAGGGAATGGTGGCTGGAGCTCATCTTCCTCCCCCTCCTCCTCCTCTTTTGCCTGCTGCACCTCTGGCTTGTCTTCTTTCACCTGTTGTCTTGCCTGCTGCACAAAATAATACACACGCCAAGGTGGCTGGGGGATTCTAGGATTTATAGTCCACACATGCTGGCTGGAGGATATTAGGGCTCACAGATGAAATAAAAATACATTTCCAAAAATCCCAAGCTCTCCTGGTGGTGCGACAGGTGAAGAAAGATAAGTAGGCTAAGGGCTTTCTTTCATTTGATTGCAGCGTTGGCTTACTCCCACATAAATATACACAGAATAGTGACCATTCCCCCTTCCCTACAATGCAATTCCTCACTTCCATAGAGGGAACCCCCTAGAAAGACATGCCTGCTCACATAGGTTCTTATGACTCTTTGCACAGTGATGGCTGGAGGCATAGAAAGAGAAGGAAGAGAAAGGCAGTCCCCTCTGCACTCCCGTTGCCCCCAAATAAAGAGAGGCAGAGAGTTGAAGGTAAAGGAGCGGCAGCAGTGGTGGTGGGCAACAGAAAAAAGCAGCCCTGGCCAAATGTGGTAGGCCCTCTTGCTCTCCCCCTCCTGTGCATGTAACCCTGGCACTGGAGGAGGGGCACATTCCACTGGAGGATGGCACTCTTTCTCCAAGAGGGATCTTCAAGAGACAAGGCCTTGAGGGAGGGGTGGCCTCAGAAGTACCCTCTGGCAGGCAGGGAGGCAGGCAGGCAATGTGTGGATGTCCATGTCCACATGGTGGTGCTGCCTGTCTTCACTTCTCCACATCTGTCCTGGGTATGCTGGTGGTGCCCCCATACTGAATGTTTCTTCCTGCTGTTCCAATGATAGAAGCAACAGGAAGAGAGGTCCGCCTCTGCATTCTACCAGCCCGACTGCTGCTTGCAAAAGGCATCCCGCTTCCCCTTTCGCTCAAGCTCATGATCTCTGCCCAATCACCAGCCCGGCTTTTGCTTCATCCTACCACACTCCATCCACATTACACACCCTCCCAGTTGTTCTTTCCTAACTTGTTTACTACAATTAGGGCAGCATTTCTTGGAGATTTTGCAATCATTTTTTTTCTAGAAGGAGTGCCAAGATATAGAAATTATTATAATCCCTAGACAGAATGGCATCTTTCATGTGCAGCATTCCTCAGAAATGGCAACATCTGTACAGGATTTGCTTTGCATAGAATGACATACCCCCAAAAAAGTGTGTTGAGGGTGATTACACCATGGCCCCATTTTGTAGGAAGCTGGGAAATTTTACTAGTACCTCATGGAGTCATAATGTGGTATGACCTGGAAAATTTCAAAGAACAAGAAACGTTGAGTACTGTCGTATCTATACTGTCATGACAAAAGGACGCCATGACCAATAAAGGGTGTGTGGGTTTTTGTTTTTTTTTTGCTTTTTCCATTAAGTTCATGAAGCTTAAATGAGTGTCATGTAGAGGAGGGGGTGAAAATGGAGCAGTGCCAGGGTAGATGTGGATACATGTACCTTACTCCATGCAGGAGGCCCCTCAAATATGGAGCCTTGGGCAATTACCCCCTGCCCCCCTTGCAAGTCTCTACAGAAGGTAGCCTTCAGCTTATTCAGGAAATCAGTAGCAACTAAGCAACTTGGTCAAGTCACTATGTTCTTCATGGTGAGGGGACCTAGGTCTCTTTGGTTCAAATCCAACACTAACCATCCACTCTGGTTCACTCAAAGGCTTCTATAGCACTGCCCAAAGACTTTTCAAGCCTTGCAATGCACTCATACATCACTACTGTTCAGTTATTTCCGTTAATAATGGCACTTGCCATTAAAGAATGTCTGGGAACCAGGGAAAACAGGGAAGGCTTATCTGAACAACTTATGACTGAACTGGAATTTGAAAATAAGAAGGGTTCTAAAACATCACACTGGTTTAGTCAGGAACCTGAGACTTGCCATGTACCATATATTTTAGAAAGGCAACTGGTACCAAAAATTTAAAGATGCTTGAGATGAAAGAAGTATTTTTAGCCATGTACAACCAATACATCAAAACCCACCAAATAGGCTTTAGGGACTAAGGAGTTACCACTGAGCAGACTTTTTACACAGCATCCTTAAACTGAAGGCTTCATAAATCCTCATTTATTTTAGCCAATGACAGTTATTACGGAAACCAAGTATTTCATTATCCTTTTCTCTACCTTGGCGTCTATACAAAATCCACATTATACTTCCATTTGTTTATTTCCGTGAAGCACAGAGCATTGTACAGGAAATACTTCCACAGCACCACATTGTTTCTTTACTCACCATAATAGCACACGACATATCGATTAGTGATCTATCTGCCTGCAACTAAAAGCCACTCCAGAATTTGCTAGTACTGCACATTACAAATATACTTTCGCAAGTGAGTAAGACCTCTTTTAATGAAAAGGAGATTTTACAACAGCCTGCAAACTGCAGACTATATTTGGTACCATGTGAGCAAAGCTCTGTTCATCAAAACGACCTCTCTCCTGCACCACTCCTCCCATCAGGACTTGAGGGTCTACAGCACGAGGAGCTGAAAGCTGTTAGTTTTGTTTAACCAAGGGTATCCACTCCACGCTGTTGACTTCACTCTGAGTACCTCAGAGAACTATGCATAATCTATACAATATGCATTATTTTAAATTAGTAGCAGGAGCATTTCATTAGTTTACATATTTCAAATGTTATGAACTATCTCTTTTAAGTGGTTTCTCTTAATAAAAGAATCACAGAATAACTGAGTTGGAAGTGGTCTTTAAGGCCATCGAGTCCAATCCCCTACTCAGTGCAGTAATCCAAATCAGATCTTACAGATGGTTGTCCAATTTTCTCTTGAATGCCTCCAGTGCTGGAGCACTAACCACCTCCCAAGGCAATCAGTTCCACTGTTGTACTGCTCTAACAGCTGAGAAGTGTTTCCTAATAACCTAAATTTTTCTGTAGCCTGCGCCCATTATTAGAGGTCCTGCACTCTTGGTTGAGAGAGAACAGACCCTCCCCTCCTCTGTATGACTACCTTTCAAGTATTTGAAAAGTGCTATCTTATCTCATCTCAATCTTCTTTTCTCAAGGCTACACATGGAAAATTGCTACCAATGGAAGACAATATCATTTTAGCCCCATAACACTCCACGACACAGGCAGGGTGATTCCACACTAAAAGCATACCCTGGAAGCAAGACAATCTGATTTTACAATCTGATCTTGCATATAATTTGTCAGAATTAAGTTTACTGATTTCAACAATATTTTTGCCTGGAGTCAAGTAATTTGTTTTCTCTTACTCTGGCAGGTAGGCCTGATATAAAAGGCTCAAGCTACAAGAAAGAAGCTACTTAGATGAGTAACAAAACATTTCAACCTAACAAGAAAGAAGTCCAGTTGCCATGACTCAACTTCCAGATAACCACACCTGGATGACTGAGAATCTTCACAGATATCTTACAAGAAAGAGAATTTCCCCTGTTATAGAGTCATATCATAGCAGAACAGACTGCTTCACAAAGTGGTGAACCCACTCTTTCCTTAGATCTTTTTAAGTAGACTCTGGTTCCCCTTGACATTTAGTCCAGTCGTGTCCGATTGTAGGGGGTGGTGCTCATCCCCGTCTCCAAGCCGTAGAGCCAGCGTTTATCCATAGACAGTTTTCGTGGTCATGTGGCCAGCACGACTAGACACAACACCGTTACCTTCCCATCGTGGTGGTACCTATTTATTTACTCATATTTACATGCTTTCGAACTGCTAGGCTGGCAGGAACTGGAACAAGCGACGGGCGCTCACTCCGTCACGTGGATTCAATCTTTCAACTGCTGGTCTTCTGACCTTTCAGCACAGAGGCTTCTGTGATTTAACCCACAGCACCACCATGTCCCTAGACTAGATGGCTATATATCAGGGAGCTGTAGTGGTGGACATCCTGTATCCCCAGTGGTGAGACTAGGCAAACTTTGAGGTCCTTTTCAACTGTATGGTTCTAGTGCTTGACCTTCCCTTCTGTTTCAAGAACTTAGGCTTTCAGCATGGCTGAGTGGGTCTATAGCTACAAGACTGTTTTCTGCTGCTGCTGCTGCTATTAGAGTTATTATAGATGAAAAGACCTGCTTAGGGCATAAGGTGAAAATATGATTTAATAAATGAAAACTAGAAAATGAGGCCATATACTTGTACTGTTAGTAGAAGTGTAGGCTTGTTTCATTGGTCTTTTCAGTTTTAAATTACTGCCAGTAAGGATTCCCAATGACAAATGGTGCAGAACAAGCTTTTCTGAAGAATTTAGGAATGGTATACAACCTAACTTGTATTACACCAATGACTCATATCCCATTGTGTTAATACAAAAACAAACAAACACAAGAGTACATAAGACTGTTATTTTTACCACCTTTAGGGCCATCCTGCACACACAGGCCATCTTAATTACATTACATTTTTAGAGGTATACATAAAATGTGAATGTGACAATCACATGGAAGGTTTCCTCTAAGGTGTGCACCTGTGTGTACTCTACTTGACTGCCCTCCACACACCTTGTCAGCCCTTTCGTTCTGGTCGCAATGGAATATTGCGCAGGCAGAGGGAATGTTGATCACATGCATCATATATATGTCACATTAACCCAGGTTTACCTCTGTTTACCGCTGTCTGAGCAATCAAGGTGAAAAAACAAGCAAGGACTATTATGAGAAATTCCTCCTATATTTACAGGCTCAAACATACATCTTCTAGATTTTATGAGCAGGCCCATTCTGAAATGAAGAAGAACGGGGGGGGATCACTTTACAGTTTGCAGCCACAGATTGTTCTGAACTAGCCTTTCAAAGAGATTAAAATGATTAATACTTATAATTGTTTGTCTTTAGGGACCTTGGAGGTATTCAGCTCTGTTAGCAGTCTCAGTGCTGCTAAATTTCCTACTGTCTTGCTCTCTGTCCAAAATCAGCATAACTGCTCAGAACATCTGCATCTAAGAAAGGCACTTCTGAAAGATCTGCATCAAAATATGATGACTCAGGGCATAGCAAGCCAAAAGTTATTACTGTTCTTCAGCATTATAAACTAGCAAGAGTGAGGAGGACAGAGTCATGCTGGGGCTTTACGAAGTAAGACAAGTCCTAACAAAGCTGGAGAACAACTAAACTACACATCGCTTGTAGGGTAAGTTACACACCCCCATGGGCACACACGTGGTAGACATGCCTCGCACTGAAAAGGTCAATCAATATATGTGAGTTCTTAAAGAGAAAAGCTAGAAGGGCTAGGGTTAGGCCAGGGGCCGAGGTTTGCATTTCCAAATAGGCAGGAAGCACGCCTTTCTGTTGGGCCAAGCCAGCCCTCTCCTCTTGGGAGGAAGCAAGCCTTGGCCTGGAAGCCTGGTGCGATCGACACAACACATGAGATGTGGGCAAAACGAGGCAAGCAGGGTGGTTGGGCGATAATCCTGCCCAGCCCTGCCTCCCTTTCTCTTCCCCGGCTCCTTCCCTTGCCGACTGCGAGCTCTTCGAAAAAGGGCATTTTCCCTCCTCCTCCTCCTCCTCCCGGTTTCGCAAGAACCCGGCGGGCAACCGGCGGTGGATGAGCTTTGGCGGCAGAGCAGGGGAAGGGGCGCCGTCCCTCCCGGTCGACGCCCGCCAGGGAGCGAA